CTAGCTTCCAAATTCCCAAGCTTTGAGCCAAAATCCACAATCTGTGCCCTCTTCCCTCTCTAGAACCGTCCCTCTCTCTTTCTCTCTCTCTAGAGTGTATTTTAGATTTTGAGCTCAAATAGGGAGCTTAAGTATAAATAGGCCTATCTATATATATATACTTGCCTAATCAACCTTGATTAAGGCTAATTAATTGTGCCTATTTTAATCAATTAAATCTAATTGATTTGGTCCGAATCAACTCTTAATTAAATTTCACCGTAGGTTCTAAAAATCAAGCTAAGCACAAAAATACAGTCAATTTTGGTTTCTGTCGCCTCTACGGTCTTTAATTAAATTTTATAGCAAAAAATCAAACAGATTTTCCTACAGTGAATAGATAGAAATTCAAAAACACATATAATCATATAAATGGCACTCAAAATCATATTAAGCACATAATCATGATCGTAAGTAAGATTAATTAACATAACATAAGACAGGGTTATCACATCATCAGTGGCCGGCAGGCCACCATCAATGGACGGTAGGCCATCTACCGGCCACCAGTGCAAAATCCAGTAGTGTACTTTTGAAGCAGAACATAATTGGTCTTGAGGTGGAAAGCAGTGCAAGTGTTCTGCTGTGCAATAGAGGCATCTGGCAGCAGAAACAATGGCTTTTTCGGGTGGAAAGTCCATGTATGCATGAGTATTCTTCGTTTCTCGAGGCGGATATCTTAGTGCTTTTTTCATGTTGTATTCATGTAATTAATTAGTTCATTTTGATTTGTAACTGATTAATTAGTTAGTTAATTTGTTGTAATAATTAGTTAGCTAGAATAGTTAATTATTTTGTTGTTGTAATAATTTGTTAAATAGTTTAGCTAATTTGTTTTGTAATAGTTAATTAATTAGCTTAGCTAGTTGATTTATTCGGACCCTCCTGTGTGAGGGCGCAAATGTTGTAATAATGTGTATGTCTTCCAACCTCACGTTTTTCTCCCTTTTATTTACCTACTTATGTTGGTTAGTTTAGGGTATCATGTTTTGTTTAGCATCTTTCATGCCTTACATCCACTTGTATTGCATGCTCCGAAGCTTGGTTCATCATTCTAACTTGCATTGTTAGTTTAACACTTCTTTGAATATGTGCTTAGACCGCATGCTATCAAATTGATTCATATGTCATATTAGTAGCCAAACCTATTTAGATTGCATATCGCATGTGTTGCATTAGTCATATTGCCTAGTTAGGATCATGTATCTTTCTAACTTTATCATCTTTTTTAGCTTGGAGTACTAGGTGAGCCTTTATTTGTTTTAGCATCTTGCATGAATGTGTTTGTTTCCATATCAAAGCATATTCACCATGAGGCTAAATGTTTATTTGATAAATTGCTTAAATACTTGTGGATGAAGCCTAATTGCTTGAATTGGAATAATTTGAATAATGTTCATATGAAATCACTTTTTCAAGTGATAAATATTCGAAACAATTTTTAAAAATAAACATGAAATCAAGTGTTTCAATTCTTGCAAGTTAGTCTATACTTGTGTGTGTGCGCATCACATAGTAATGCTAGTCTAATAACCGGAGCAAGAGCATATAATGTAAATACGATTCATATCATGATTAGTAGAGGCCGATCTTTGATCGGGCGAGCGTGGGTGCTCAATTCATGACCTTCTCCTCTGGTACCTAAGTTCCCGAACTGAAACAATCTTGGTGATGACGGACACGTGGCCTTTGTCACGAGTCATGGGTTTCCTAAATTTTTTCAAAAATATTTAGGTGGCGACTCTATATCTGGCAAAGCAGTCCATTTTTGGTAATTTGATTCAAAATTGATTTTCCAAAAGATTTGCCAGATTTGAACTCTTTGGTGATTATCTATTTCACATTAAACTTGTGAAATTAGATTCAGAACCGCGAGAGTCCAATACTGTAAGGCTTCTTCATTTTCTGAAAGGGGCACGAAAAGTCGAACTACAAATAGCCATGACTTGTTAAAAGTGGCTAAGATGCGTGTAAGGATCCAACTTCCGTTGTAGATCGTGAACTTGGGTTGGCTAAAGCCCACAAGCAAAGGCGTGTTCACTATTGCTAGTATGAACGGTGAACTCTATAACTTGGCCAACGTCTTGTCTGCTAGCTCATAAGCAAGGTGCAACATTGGCATTGCAACCTCGAAGCTTCCATGTGTCCTTGGAGCCAATCGCTGCAAAGCAAATACCTTTTGAGGGTCCTGCGCTTGGGCAATTTATCTCCTTTGTGCCCTTTCCTCCAAAATAGTCCGCAAATTTTCCGATCTGGGTAGTTCCATATATCGAGACGATGTTTGATGTGTGTGCAAGGGTCGATAACTGCTACCCTCAATGTAGGATCTTTCAAACCTCTCCTCCTTAGACCTGGAGTAGCAAGTTCTGGAAGTCCTTGAATGGGAGTCGCCTGCTCTGAAGCTACTGTTCCTTGAATGTGCAGGTGTGGCATATCCATCTTGATCTCTAGAATGATGAGATCACGTTCGTCCTTCTTGGATCTCTATCCTTATCATGCCTTTGCCTCTTTCTTGGCGCTTCAAAGCCTCCATGTCTGTTGCCATCTTCCTTATCAACTCGCCTTGCTCCCTCACGCGATCCTTCAAAACCTAGGTATTTGTTCGTCGCCTTTGTCCATCTGGGCTTTGGGAGTAGCGAGGGTTCAAGCCCTGCTTTTCTTGCGCACCCCTATAAGGGTTCCGTCGCTGAAGGTCCAAATTCGCCATGGGCGGACCAGGAGGCAAATCATCACGCCTCCTGTTCACTTCTGGCATCTGGCCATCAATGGCAGAATGCGGCAAATCTTCGTTGCGCGCCATTAAAGTTTGTTGAAGGAAAACTTGATCAAAAGGTAAGTTTTCTGAGATTCCCACAGACGATGCCAATTGTACGAGCACGAAATAATTTGTCTCGTCTAATCCTGTTGATCAAGTTAGCCCTCCTCTAAACGTCATCGTCTAAGCGCCTGAAAACACAAACGTGAGCTAGCCGGTTGGTGTGTGCCAAAAACCCCTCCGATGCCTAAGTTAGCAAGTAGATAATAGACAAAAAGTTCTGTGTATTTGAAAGTAAAAATTGCAATACTTGAGATTAGGGTTTGGTTTGAGCTTTTGTAGATTCTGCATTGCACAATCCTAATAGGACTCTAACTCTCCAATGTAGAGTGCTCCTAGGAATCACATTCCCAAAAGATAATACTTATCTTTTAACACCCCCCTCACTGCAAGCCAAGTGACATGACACAAGTCTTTGCTTGGCTTTCTGCCGTGCAATCGGACTACTTCTGCTTTGTTTGCTAATGGCTTAGTCGTACAACACGCAGCGCACGTGAAAGCAGACTTTGCATGGCTCGCCTCCCAGCTCGACATTCCTAGCTCGGCTCTTCTCTCTGTTTGACTACCTTGCTTGGTAGCTCAGTTATAACGTTGACCTCCACTAGAAAGTAGCTAGGTTTAAAAATATGGGCATTTACTAGTTCGGTCAAACATCTTTGATCGCCACTAGGAAGTAGTCAAGTCTCGTAGCTAGGTCTTATAGCTAGGTCCCGTAACTAGGTCTTATAGCTGGGTCTTATAACTAGGTCCCGTAACTAGGTCTTATAGTTAGGCCCGTAGCTAGGTCCCGTAACTACGCCCCGTAACTAGGTCCTGTAGCTAGGTCCCATAGGTAGATCCCATAGCTAGGTCCTATGGCTAGGCCTTATGGCTAGGCCTCATAGTTAGGTCTAGAAATATAGGCATTTACTAGTTCAGTCAAACATCTTTGACCGTCACTCCAACATAGTTCGGCCCAATTTAGCTACACAAATTACCCTCCATTTAATATATGCAATGTTTTTAGTTTTGAATTTTTTGATTTAATAGATTGGTTTAATAATGATATCAAAGTTATCGCTATATTTGACTTTTAGAAAAATAAACTAATTTAATGAAAATAAAAACAACCATCCATTACAAGATCATCATTCAAACACATAATAAAATTTAATTTGATAAAATAAATAAATAAATAAATAAATATCTAAAAAATTATCAATTTTACATAATTTTATCTTCAATGGACAGAAATAATTTTTAAAAATTCAAAAATTTTTGTTTGACATTTATTTTGGTCAAATTAATTTGTATTTCATCAAATTGACGATTTTACCCATAAAATTAAGCAATGGTATCTTCAATTGTTCTTATTTATAATAAGATTCAAAATTCATAATTAAATGTGTCACAATTTAAAAGTCAAAGACCATTATTTGGAATAAGAATAAAAATTTAAGATCAAATATGTCACAATTAAAAAATTAAAAATCAAAACAAATCTTAAATTATAAAGACCGTTAATATAATTTATCCAAATAAATTTCATTCCTTCCCTTTTATGCAATGCACTGGTCAAAAGTACGTGCACCTAATGTTGGTGCTATAAAATAATTTTTCTAACATAAAAAGGACCCATGCTTATTGTTTTCGAAAATAATTCAATAACTTCTCTTTTCTTCGTTCTCTTTTCAATTTCTAAAGAGCAAAAATTATGCTGAATCAGCTGCTTGGCTATATTTTTGCGTAGTAATCGGATTCAGCCTGCAGAACATCAACCTAGTTGAACCACCATGAGATCACTCAATCCAAGTAATCGGATTCAGCCTGCAGAACATCAACCTAGTTGAACCACCATGAGATCACTCAATCCAACTCAAAGATCATCAAAAACTACAAAACGCTGATTTAAAAAAATAAAATAAAAAAAATAAATAAATACAAAATGTGAGACACAATTCTCCCCATAACATGAACAATGAACTGTAAATTTGATTCCATTATAATGACCATGTAACTGAACCTTAATCTCATTAAGAATTCATCGACTGAAAACTAGTGCAAGCCAGCCCTCTAAATCAGTCTGTCCAGAGAATGAACAAGAAGAAATTTTGATATATATATTTTTTTGAAATATACAGTTTAGTCCAAGAAAAAACACCATAAAGAATCCAATGATCAAACCTGCATCAATTACAGGTGAGAATTTTTAAAGTGCTTCAATAAGCAAAGAATACACGCTACACGCTGCATAATGTGACTGGAGAATCATACACGAATCAGTACTATACACAGTAGAACTGTCAAAAAGACGGGTTACCTCAAAGGCTAAATTCCAACAAAACATATTTGAGCATGCAAACCTACAACACTACTATCCATGTTTTAGTGATCAACCAGCAAAATATATTCAATCCTGAGAAAATGAATTGAAAGAACACTGCACAAATACAACCCATCACCCAAATCTGCAGCAACAAGGAAGCCAGAAAAAAGAAAAAGAAAAAGAAAAATGCAAAATCTGAAGGTTTCAAGAGTGCGACTGAAATCCACTTGGTGTTCACATGGTACGGACTTCAAACATGGATCAGTAAGGTCAACAACCGGTGTCACACTTGCGTACTTGAAAGACATCTCCATTGTCCCACGCGTGGACCCTTGTCTAAAAGCATTAGCAAACCCACATTGTTCGCTGACATCCCAAACATGTACCTGACAGTAATATTAACAATTAGGTAAAACAAACATGTAATTTTCAACCATAACCAAAAAATTAGAAAAGTTTGACTCATATACACTTCATGAGTCGATAAGTCGATCAAGGTATGCACCGAGGTATGGTTCTAGTCTCAAAATAACTGAAATAGCTTGGATAATTTTAACAGAGTATTTATATTTCCTAGTGAGTTCTTACCCACTTAAGTTAAAGTTTCCATTTTTCCCTCTTTCCTCGATTATTCTCCGAGTTTGCTTCCTGTAGTTTGTTACTCTCATATGCATCTTAACATTTATTAGCTTCAAAATTACTCCAGGTAACAAAATATTGTAAATTCTGAATGGACGCTACTCAGATACCCTCAAAGGAATGAACAGTTGAAGCAAAATTAAAAAATCTAATCCACCTAAGGTGGGATTTCATAACTATTAATCATATCCTCTTGAAAGTGGTGTAGTTCTGGCAACCACGCATCAAAGTTTACTGACTCAACATAGGATCAGCAAGTTCATGACACATACAGTACAGAGGAAATAAAACAGTCAATTAAAAAAATGAAAGTCAAAAGGAACTTCAAATAATGATCTACTCACTTGCTGTGGCGTGCTTTTTTTCTCCAGAAAACGAAGGACACAACCCACTGATCAAAACACGAAAAAAATGAAAACAGTAAGTGCCAATACAATATGTGCGTGTGTGTGGCAGAAAACCAGCAGAACAAATGTAAGTCATGAATCTAATAGGAGTAAATGAATATGTGGCTTATGATGTTACAGAACATTGTAAGAAACAATTTCAGTAATAGATGATGAATTTCACACGCAAAATTCAAAAAGTTAAACGAAAAATGCATCAAATGGAAATCTATATCTTTGTAAAGCTAGTCACCAGACCCATACAATCCAACTAATGACATTTTAAATTCTTATCCACTGAAAGCTTCCGTCACCATTAAATAAAAAATAAAAAATAAAAAAAAAAACATATTATCATGAGTTCAGGAGTATACAACTACAGATATTGAGTAGATTCAAAATTTAATGTGTGAGTGCCCGAGAAAGAGAGAGAACTAGAAGTCAATGGAAAACATGACTAAAATTGTAAATCCATAACAGCACAAATAATCTGCCAAAACAAGGGGAGATAAAGGGAAATATCAGTGAACCAGGGCACAAAATCAGGACAATGAAGCACAAATTACGAGGACATACATTGGATAAAGCTTTTGACACTTTTATCCTATTGATAGCAAGGTAAAAATATGCAGTCAATGACACTGCATTGTGAAAGACCATCTAAATTGGATAAAGGTGAAATTTTAAACTCTGTTTGGATCATGGATTTACATAAAGATTTGGAAAGAGAATGGAAAATGTGAACGAAATATAAGCTAAAATTTTTCTTGATTTCCCTCGCCTTTCCCTTTCCCTTTCCCTTTCTCTTCCAAATCCATAATCCAAACACAACATTAATGAACTAGAATGCATAGGTAAGGCCATATATACACCACAAATATAGAAAAAGTCTGCATCATGAATAGATCATCAAATTAATTCTCTAAATTACCTTGAACACTGTCATGAAGGAAAAGCTCTTAATAAGAGATGGTTTCTTTACAGGCATACTTCTTGCTGGTGACATGTCTTTACACAATTGTTGAGCTATCTCTTTCAACAATACAAGTTGAGCTTTATCAGTTCGCATAGAAATGAGTGCCTGCCTCATTGATTCTCTATCAGCTTCGAGTGCGTGAAGCCTCGTGTACAGCTTCTTGATCTCAGGATCTCCTGCATCTGCCTGGTACAGTGACTCCCTTGGAGTAGTTAAATAATCATCACATGCTCCAATCGTAGGCTTGCTCTCCGTGAGCCGATTATATGTCATTTCTTGATGAACAGAATCAATGGTATATACCCTGTCACTCATGTCATCTCCGACTTCCGATGCATTATCCACTTTTCTCAAATTTGAATAGTCATCCGTCTTTGAGTATTCCGTCTTCTTGAAGCTGGTACCAAACCTTGGAGAGTCAGTGGTATCTGGACACATTTCTTTACCCATTGCATAGAATGAGTTCGAACTATCTGTGGACGTTCTTCTAAAATGTCTTGGCCGCCTAGGAGACTGACCAACTATCACCTTTTCAAACACATTCTTTGCACTGGGAAACTCCCCATCTGGCAGAATTTGTCTAGGAGTTCTCTCCAATTGGTTGATCCTATATTCCAAATCCTTCAAATGATCTTGAGAACGTGGGGTCTCACCAAATGCATATTTTTCAACATCAACCACATCATTGTCAACTTCTGAATGAAGGTTCTCATTCAAATTGCATTTGAGAGGGGGGTAATTATAGGCGGGGAAATCACATTGAGCATCAAGGTTTCCAGCTACACTATTGTTGCGGGTCATGCTACCTCTCTCTCCATCTGCCTCGGATTCTGTAAGACCGTAACTCATCATCCTATGTTTATAAGCCTGCACCTCACAATACAGAGATTCAATAGCCTGTTCTCTCTTATACAACAATTCCTCCATCGCCGATAGCTCTTGTTGGTCGTGTGCCATCTTTTCCTCTGCAAACCGCTTGAATTGCCTGGCCTCCATCTGAATCTCAGCCTTCTCCCTCTGCAACCTCAAAATCATAGACATGGCCTCATTTGCAGCTGACGAGGAAGCATTCCTCTCCTCCTCCAATTCAATTGAAAGATCCTGTATCGATAGTTGCTGGCTGCTAACCATTTCCCGCAACGCATCGGCTTCATTCTCAATTTCAACGCGAGCAATTTGGGGCAAATTGAAACCAGGGATAACAAACGTATTGCCTCCCTCAAACTCATTGAATTTCCTCTTCACGGACCGAAGCCAAGTACCCGAATAGGACCTGTTAATCGACGAACAACTACACCCACAATCACAACATTTGACCAAACTCATCGAAGGTGTCACGCCTTCAAAATCCATAATGCAGTACGCATTCAATCCCCCCCACACACACACCAAATTGAACTCAACCACAACAACCCCAACAAATCAAGATTTCATACAAATTTCTATTCACGATATCCCAAATCCTCTCTCTTGAATTTACACAACAACAACAAAAAATAATATTCCCTTCGAATCCGTGTAATTCCCCTCCCTCAACTCCACTAACCCATCGATCCTCTCAGATCAACAAATCATAAAACAAACAGCCCTACAACAAAATAAACAAAAAATCAAGAAACTTCACACACACAAACAGAGAAAGAGAAAGAGAGAGAGATTAATTGGCTTACCTTGAAAGAGCTGGGAGAAGAGCTCGGGGTGGGGGGCAGAAATTTCCCGGGAAAAAAAGATTTTCCGGGAAAACCAGAAAGAAAATTGGAGAACCCGAGAGGACAGAAACGAACACCTGGCGCCTTCCCTTCTATTAGGAGAATGAGAGGAGAGGGAAAATGGAGAGAGAGAGAGGGAGAGAAATTTGAAACCCTAGTAGATTTTGTGTATTGCTATTGCATCGTGTTTCGTGTAATTTTTTTATTTTTTTTAGAGAGAGAGAGAGAGTGTTTTAGAGAGAGAGAGAGAGAGAGAGAACGGGGTTCCGAAAATGGTGTGAGACGGAAAAAGAGAGAGAGGAGAATGGAGGGCTGAGATGGAGTGAGGGAGTGGATTGATTCGGAGACTACAACAACAACTAATATAACCGAAAAATGGAGATGAGTTAGCGGAGCGATTATAGACTCATTCTTCGGACTAAATTCGGCGGCTCGGTATTTATCCTATTTGGTAAGTCCGGTTTTAATCATCATTCAATTTTAATTACTCCCTCTGTCCCAAAATATTAGTCTCTTATTTCATTTTTTATTGTCCCAAAATATTAGTCCCTCTTCAAAAATCAAGTACAAAAATAATATAAATTTTCTATTTTACCCTTCTTTTAAATTAATAAACAACATAAAAAGTACAATTATGCATTGATATTCCCAAAAAAATATACTATCAAAAGGATAATTTTGGAAAATCAACTTTTTTTCAAATGCAATAATTGTACTACCAAAAAAAGTTAGATTCCCCAAAAGGGACCATTATTTTGGGACGGAGGGAGTAATTATTTTGTTTAAAAAAATTATAAAATTAAAATTAAATCATGCAGTTTTTTTTTTTTTATTTTTTATATTACATATGTTATAAGTTGAATTTATTAAATAATTTTTGATTTTACCCTGCATAACTAAGAGATTTTGAATTTGAAATCATGAAAAGAATATATTTCTAAGTCTTAGATATTGACCACTAGGCCAATCACTATGACAATCATTAGAAATTTTGTTGAGAAGTTCATTTATAAAGGGTGAGATTAAGCTTTATTTGTAATAATTTAAAAAAATAAAAAAATTAAAAAGTCATTGTCCCATTTAAGTTACATTATTTTATTTAAGTCACATCATATCTCTATCACATTACTTCAAATCCAATTCATATTTAACCTATATTTCATAAAAAGTCAAAAAATACTTTTATTTAGATCATTCCAAACAACCCTCAGTTTAAAGATTGTTTTTTCTTTTATTTATTATAAGGATATGATTAATAAAATTATTTAGTCAAAAGATCAAATTATTATTTTAAAGGATTTTTTTTTTCTTCTATTTTTATTCACTATTTCCGAGGTGACTGGTGGTGGTGGTGATAAGGACATATATGCATCATAAGTGGACATATAGGTGACACGTATACAAAATAAGTAGAGATATGTATAACACTTGATAGATAGGTGGAATAGTGGACAAATAAATAAATATATAGGATAATATGATTTTTTTAATTGTTATTATCTTTTTTACTCCAAAAAATTAGCACTTGCGCTATTACCTTAAAAGTTTTAAATTGGATTTATGGCTCGAATGTCCAAATTAACATCTATATGTATTTTACGGGTTAATTATCTATTTAGTCTTCAAAGTGAAATTTGTGTGATTTTAATCACATGTTTAAATTTTGTCAATTTAATTTTTAATGTATAAAAAATATTTTAACTTGATCCCTCAACCCAACTTCATTTGTAGATACCATCAAATACTGGATAAATATAAAAATTCAATTAAAAAATTACACTTTTAATTCCCAACGCATGCGACCTTTTAATCCCGAAAAGGTATATTTTCTTGTATTACATTATTAAAGTATATAAATGTTGGATGGTGGGAATATTTTTCTCTAAAGAAGTTGATTAATTTTTACATTTACTGATATATATTTATGATTTTCAAATTTACTCATGGTTGATACAGAGAGACAAAATTAGTTGGGGACTAAAATGGCATAATTTAAATGTTTGGGGCTAAAATACATAGATCTTATATTTTGGAAACCAAAAGTGTAATTTTTTTAATTAAATTTACAAATTTATTGCTAATTTTAACAACATATGTAGACATAGTTAGAAAATAAATTAACACAGCTGAAATATTAAGAATCAAAATGACATAAATTATTGAATAATGTTTGGTGGCTCGAATTCTGTGGCTCGAATGGTTCGAATATGACAAAAAGATGTTATTTTGCACCCAAAACGATGTTATTTTGAGTGTTTCGAGCCATTCGAACCATGTATTTTCGAACCACCAACCATTGCCGGAAATTATTGAGAACTAAAAAGATCGTTAACCCACATTTTATTTATGTCTAGCAAGGGTAATCTTTTTAGTTTTTGTTTTTTTCTTATTTTTGGCTCAAAAGGAGGTTTCATAGAGACGTGTGCCCTCATTTTGTAAGGATTAATAACGGACATTTGCCCTCAATTATTTATTTAGCCTATGTTTGGGGAGTGGATTTTGGGGTTTTTTTTTTGTTAAAATAGTTACAAAAAATAAAATAAATTTTTTTAATTTAATAAGACCAAACATCACATCTAACATATAATTATTATATTTTTTTCTCACAAAAAAAAATCATAAAAGCCCTTTCAAAATCAAATTTTTTAACCTTAAGCTAAAATAATCAAAAAATTAAAAAGCTAAAAAATCAACTCATTTTTCAAATGAAGCCTTACTTATTATTTTGTACATATTCTCAATACTATTAGAGATGTATGGCACTTCAATTTTTTTTCTTCTTCAAACATTTTAAAAACTTCCATAATGTTTGCATGTCCTAGCTTGGGGTTTCTAAAAATTAAATAAATAATAATAGTGATAATAAAAAAAAATGTTGCATAATAATCCTTCTTCAATTACAATAAATACACTGGTTCTTTATTTTGAAGAATGTTGTTCAGTAGGAGGCTTTGGAAGTCTTTTCCATCAATTTCAATTGCATTAATTATATTTAGGATTTGTGCTCTCTTTTAATACTATTTTCCAATTATTTTAAGAAGCATACATTTTTAAAAATTAATTTATTTTCTTTTAATATCATTGCCCAATTATTTTAAGAAATATACGTTTTAAAAAATTAATTTGTCATCTTGTTTAAGTAGATTTAATTTCGAAAGATCTTTGACGTTCTTTTTTATTTTTATTACTTTTTCATTATCGTCTAACTGTCTAACTCCCATTTTTCTTTTTAAAGATTATTCATGGTAAACCCGTACTGTATACAGGATGTGAAAAAATTAATAACATATTTTTATATAAAATAATATAGATAGTTAGATTTTCGTATGCAAATTATAAAAATAAAAAATATTGAAACATACAATTTAAGTTTCACAATTTATGTATCAACTTTTAATTTGTCACAATTTCAATTATATAACTTTCAACCCCTTTACTAATTAATTTTAATTTAAAAATTACAATAAAATATTTAAATAGAATAAAAATAAATTTCTTACAAAATAAAAGTATCTGAATAAAAAAAAGGTAAGAAGAAAATTCTAAAAGTTATTTTTATTTGATCTGAAAATTTTAGGTGAATAATAAATTATCACCTAAAATCCTCATTTTTTCTAAATAAAAAAAGAAATTTCATTACCATCATTTTGAATAGAAAAATAATTTAGCAATTTAATCCAAAAGATATTTTCATTTTTTATTTTAATTCGTTCAATTGACAATTGAGATTAAAAACAAAATTAATAGGATCCATGGCATTTGGCAAGTGCTAAAAAGTCTATATAAATAATAAATTATCACGTGTAACCTTTATTTTGTTTAATCGACAATTGACATAAAAATTTTAAAAATAAAAATAAAAATAAAAACAGAATCCACCATCTTTATCAAGTGTTAAAAAAGTCATTCATTTTCTTAATGTTTTTATCTGTTGTTAAAAAATGTATTTATTTGTATTAAAAAAATTTATTAGGATATGAATTTTTTTATAAAATTTAAAACCAAAAAAGACAAAAATAAAATATAAACTTTTAAAAGCAAATAATAATTTGAACACTTGTATTTAATAAAATATTATATTTAAACCAATAACATTATCATACATCGGTATGACACATGTGAATATTGATCTCATTCTAATTATAACAACATAATTTAAAGAAGAATTTAAATTTAAAATTTTATTTGGTAACTAAATAAAGGGATTTTTTTTTAGGGTCCCTGATATTAAGACTTTATAGTATAAAGGACATTCAATATTTTAATAATGTTTAAGGTCCCTCAAATTGACCCAGAAAAAATTCGATTTCACAGAAAAAATCTTACCAGAATTTCTTTGGACTCACTTCAACTCAGAGAAATTCTCCCAGTTTAGAGAAATTCACAAAAACTCAGAGAAAATTTTCTTCTAACCTAGAGAAATTCACAACCCTCTTTAAGCAGTACCTTTCACTTTAAGGGAAAAACGACAGAAATCAAAGTCTTGAAATCATTGAATAGAGAATATGAATATAAATACTATGATATCTATGTAATGGAAAAAAACAAAAATTCAGACACTTTTCACAGAGATTTAGAGAAGAGTCTTAGTATCATATGCATCTTGCTAAGAACCAGGTTTACAAAAAAATATCCCAACAAAAGAATGAGACACTCTCAATTTATTTGCTTAGATAGTAAAAAAACAATAAGAATGATTACCCATGATATTATTGATTTAGAGAAAATTCAACTTCACAAAGAAAATCTCACTAGATAAATTTTGGGAAGAATTTCTCTAGTTTCTCTGACCTTCCCTAGACTTCCCACTCTCCAGAGAAATTTGAAATTTCTGCGACCTTCCCTTCTCTCCAGAGAAATTTCCCTTCTCTAGCCTTCCTTAGACATCCCACTCTCTAGAGAACTTTTGGAATTTCTCTAAAATTTCCCTGGCCTTCCCTTCTCTCCAAAGAAATTTCCCTTCTCTAGCCTTCCCTAGACATCCCACTCTCCAGAGAAATTTCAAAATTTCTCTGGCCTTCTCCGGCCTTCCCTGGACTTCCCACGAAATTACTTCTCTAGAGAAATTTTGAAAATTTTCTGGCCTTCCCTGGACTTTCCACAAACCTCTTGAAATGTATATATGAAACAATATCAAACAAAACACAATTCAATTTCCATATCTTAATCGCAACAAATCGAAGTAAATCCTTAATTACATACTCTCAACTCCACACACACACAGTGATTTCAGAGAACCAATCACACAAAACAAACA